TTTATTTATTTTTAAAAGTTAAATTATTTAAATATATTTGATAAACTAAGTCCTTGTTTTAGGCACATTAAAAATTTCATTCTCATTTTTCTACTCATTTTCAAATTTCAACCACACATTCTTCAATAAAATAATACTTTCCATCATATCAATAACTTTTCCTTTTATTTCAACCACACATTCTCCATCAATCTACTATTCCAAAATATATTCTTTTAAAATAATGTGGCTCACATACACTCAGATTTTTATTATTTGTCATATTCCTTAGATAATTTTAGTTATCATCTTTTATTAGAACTAATGAAATTTTATGAAATTTTACATTTAAAGTATTGAATTCTTAAAAAAAATTAAAAATTAAATGCGGAGGGGTGGGGCCCTTGTTAATTGTACCCGCCCCGTCCCGTCCCGTCCCGTCCCGTCCCGTCCCGTTCCCAACCCAAATACCTGATTAAATAGGTAATCCCTACCTCGTTTGGGGCTAGACCTCACAGATATCAGAATTGACATATTTTTTTATCATTCCTAAAAAACACTATTCTAGTCATTAAAAATTTCAAATAATGGGGACCAAAACTTAATAATATGTTAATATAAAATGCTTATTTTAATGAATAATCAAATTTTACAGAATAAAAATTCATAAAATAATTTCTCAAAATTTCAAGTCAAAGATGTTTATTATTTTTCTATTTTTAAAAATAATTTTTAGAATGACATACTAAATGTATTTTTAACAAGAATATTGTTATTTAACACCACAGTGTTGCAATACAAATCTAGGTGTCACTAAATGTCATTAAATAAATGGTAGAATTAAATAAATTACGTATAATTGAATATATAATATAATATCATATATAGCGATGCTCTAACATCGTTCATGCTGAAAAATATTACTCTTTTAGCAATAGTAAAATAGATATGAAAACAGAAAATTCAAAATTGAAAATTGAAACAGAAACCCTAAATGGCCGAGCTACTTCTCTCAACAAATTTGACTTCCATCGAATGAATTTCGCTTAAATAAGTACTTGTTCCCATTTCTTCATCAATAACAATCAGTTTTCTAGATTGATCATTCATTAATTATTTCCGTTGTCAGGTGTAAGTACATTAAATTCATTGACTTATTATAAACCCTAATTTCTTTATTAATTGCCTTTCGCATCAAATTTGCAATCATTAAATCGCATTAAGGTACGAAAGTTTTCTCCAATTTTTCCTTTGTTCTCTCTCTTCAGTAATAAGAACAAGAGATGGAATAACAAATCATCTGATTGTAAAATTCCAGTCAATGTAATGGCGAAAATGACAGATTTTCTAAACCCACTCACAAGTTGAAACCACATCGTGGCATCTTTTTCCTTGTCAGATGCACCACCGCCTGAAGCTTCTGTTTCAAATCAACATTCATATATCTATTATAAATTTCACATAATTATGTCAATTTATATGCTATGTACATGTAATCTCTCTTTCTCTCTCTAAAATTTACCACTTATGCAATCAACGTGTGTGTGCATTTTTTCTTTGATTATGATATATTGAATTGCTGAAGAAAGGCAGAGGATTGATAAGGAGTGTATAATTAATTTGTTATAAGAATTGATGATGAAGAAGGCACCGGCATCGCTGTTGCCGGCGAAGCCGATGCGCCACGTTCTGTGGCTGGTGTGGAAGATGGTTATTTTGGTGTCCATCATTCTCTGTGTATGGGCTTTCTTTAGACTGCAGAAATACTCGGAGTCCCCGGTCTCTCCTTATTCAACCTTGCCTCGGAATTCTCGAGTTTTCTTTGATCGGTTTGAGGGCAATACCAAAATTGCGTTTCTATTCCTTGCTCGGAGAGATTTGCCTCTCGATTTCCTTTGGGGAAGCTTTTTTGAGGTGAGTTCGATCTCTATTTATTTGTGGAATTGAAAAATATATTCACTGAAAATTTTCGTTAGTAGTTTTGTTTGATTCTAATACTTAAAATTGTTGTTATTATTTTCATTTCAGTCCTGTTTAATTTGTTTCAATTTTCCTCTGGGATAATTTTTTACATTTTTGAAATTCTTTTGTCTTTTTTTTATTCGTGGTGGGAATTATATTTGGTTAGATCATCAATATTTTGTGCATTTACTTATTTGTATATTTTCGAGCTTGATTGTATTTCTGACACACGATGAAGAATCTGCGGAGTTTTAACATTTATTCTATTTGATATATTTGAGAAAGAAAAAAAAAATAGTAATTGGTTTTCTTTTACGATTTTTTATTTTTGTTTACTGATTTTTTCCTGCTTGCAGAATGCAGACAAGGCAAATTTTTCAGTATACATACATTCACAGCCTGGTTTTGTGTTTGATGAATCCACTACAAGATCTAGTTTCTTTCACAATCGACAGTTGAAGAATAGCATTAAGGTAAATCCATCCATTTACCAATCATTTGTTTGCTGACTAGTATATTTTTAACTTAGAAGAGAGGGAATGAAAATAAAATTGTTTCTTAGACTTGATCAATGGGAGGGAAAATAACAGAAATAGACAAAACACTTTCTAGAAGTTGAATGAATCCATATTTATGCACCATATCCCCTGCTTCTTTCTTAAATTTCAACTTTAGCTAAAAAATTTTACAATTTTCCTATTTGTAATTTCTCAAAATTTAGTTTCCCTTGCCAAGCATGAAAGGAAATGGGCAAGAAGTAATTTCTCAAAATTTAGTTCTCAGTACTTGTTACTTCTTCTGGTAAGCAAGAAGTTCTTTTTCTAATCAGTATAATAGATTGGTAGGGATGATGGTGTAGGTAGTCTGGGGAGAAGCAAGCATGATTGAAGCCGAGAGGTTGTTACTTGATGCGGCTCTTGAAGATCCAGCAAATCAGAGATTTGTTCTCTTATCGGACAGGTTCATTTTCGTTACTGTTAGACAACTAAAGTGGTTCTTCTATGCATTCGAGTGTCTGAATTATATCTTTAGCTGGCTTTGACTTTTGAAAGAATTGACCTATGACCATCCAAATGTTCTTAATTTATACTTAGATTAAGACATTCTTGTATAGTGTATCATTAAGATAAGTGAAATTTGGATGAAGGAGTTCACTGCTGAGGTAGTTGTGCTCTTGTATTTACTATCCTCTAGTCCAAGTGACCAGAGTGGAGCCCATTAAAACATAGAAGAAGTGAACAGTAGGAGATTTAGCTGCTCACAGGGATCTTACTATAGGGCAAAGATTAGAGAGGGTCATTGATAACAATGTAGAAACTTACAGGTGAAATTGATGTAAACTTGTTACTTCAACACCAGCTTCAGTTTTGCTCATGTCAAACTCTAGCTTATTTTTGCTTAATAATTGATAATTATTGACTAACTGGAATAGACTTAGTAATATGCGTGAACTCAAGACACAATTTATTATTCACATTTATTTCTATCAGAGATCAGAATTTTTTCTTATGTTTAATTAAAATTACCTATAAGTTTTGTGTACCCCCTTATCTGCTTCTTTTTGTGATTCAGTTTTTGTCAGATCAATTCTGATTCTTGGATTCGAGGTTGTATGTATCATTTTTAGTGATTTCTCCCTTTATGTTTATCCTTAAGAAGGACTACATTAAAAGGAACAGGCCTCATTATTCCTACATGTGCGGTGTGCCCATTCCCTTGAGATGTTGGATTCCTCAAGTACAGGGATTCTGTGAGAGGTGCTGCTGTGGCAGTACCTGATTTGAAGACAGGTTTTTGATTTTTTGTCATCTGCCAATGATTCTGTGCCATGTGGAATCCTGTAAAATTTCTGTGAAAATTTCCCTGTACCTATAGCATTACTCTGAGATGTTACTACATATTTTGCTTGTGTTTAATCTTTCACGTTTAAAAATATAATCATTCATTGGATTGGTTTCTGTATGTTCGGTCAGAACCCCTTTCCTTATACCATGTAAGCCCTAGTGTTTCATAAGGCTACATGCCCTTTTTTCCCAAGTTAATTGTCCCCTATCATGTCTATCAGTTCGGGGTGCTATCATCATATTTTAACTCTTTTGCAGCTTGCATGTTGATATTTTCTGACTTTACATGGTTTAATTTCCAGCTGTGCCCCTTTGTACAACTTCAGCTATATTTACCACTATCTCATGGCTTCTCCAAGAAGTTTCGTGGACAGGTAGATAAATCAATAATCTTTTATGTGGCTTAGTGGGAATCTATATATGATGGAAGCAAATTATAAATAGTAGAGAACCAATAGTTATGCGTTATTTTATGTTGTGTTATATGATCTCATAATTAAATATATGTGCCTGGCATTTACACAATTTGTTTGTGTTGTAGTTTTCTTGATAAAAAAGATGTGCGCTACAATCCAAAGATGTCACCAGTTATTCCACAGGGCAAATGGAGGAAAGGATCACAGGTAATTTCCCTTTGCCTGTTGATTCCACCCATGGTAAAGTAAGAAGATGAGTGATATCACTAAGAATTGAAATAAAATCACTGATGTCTCATTCTCAATGCCGCTTTAGAATGACGTCTCTCTCTCTCTCTCTCTCTCTCTCTCACTCACACACACACTAGAAGATAGACACGGGGCACGTGCACACACTCGCTCCCCAAATCTTACACATGGGAGATGAATTCTGTTGGTCAAAATGATCAACCACTTCTACAAAGATTAGCGGCTATCAAAATGCACTTCCAAAAAAATTAGCGGCTGACTATATATTGGTTACTCACTTTTCTACCTTCATGCGAAAACTTACATACTTGCCTTATTATGTTTTGGTGTTTTTGGGTGGTTTCTGGATATGGATGACAAATGCCAGTTTTTGTTTTGTTTCCACCCCCCCCCTATTTCCATGCTAAGAACAAATCTAACGAGTTGATTATTTCAGTGGATCACCTTAATCCGTAGACACGCTATTTTTAAAGTTCAGTGACCCGGTGGAAACTTTCGGTAAAATTCAGTGACTATTGGGGTAATTAACTCTATATAATGAGCCACATAATTTTTTCTTTGTTGGATATACTTCATTCTAGATCTATATTTACTGTTTGTATAGAGCTGTATCTGGAAAGATAATTTTTGTTTGGTCTGCTACTACTAACTTACAAATTTTATTTTAACTATAGTAGGTTATAAAAAGTTCAGATGTTAGTTATACGTGTTTTTTATTCATGTCCCATCCCGTCAACCTAATTATCCCATACCCCATCCGCATAAAAAACGTAGTTTTTAAAGTTTAGTGACCCAGTGGAAACTTTCGGTACTATTGGGGTAATTAACTCTATATAATGAGCCACATAATTTTTTCTTTGTTGGATATACTTCATTCTAGATCTATATTTACTGTTTGTATAGAGCTGTATCTGGAAAGATAATTTCTGTTTGGTTTGCTACTACTAACTTACAAATTTTATTTTAACTATAGTAGGTTATAAAAAGTTCAGATGTTAGTTATACGTGTTTTTTATTCATGTCCCATCCCGTCAACCTAATTATCCCATACCCCATCCGCATAAAAAAGCCAAATTATTATCGATCTTTTTGTTAACAAAATAATTTAGCTACATTTGTGAACACGTCTACCCTTAAGGGATGTTATTTTAAGATTATTTATTAATATTCTTTTTTCTATGGAAATTTATAAGTTTTACTGCTTTGCAGAGACGGCCGCCAGTGGATGTCAGTAAAGGAAAACTGAATCTTGTAAGTTACCTTTGCTGCTTGTCCTGAAATGGATATTAACCTTCTCTTAAGACCGGCCATCTCTGGATTTCGTAATTTTGTCATGTTTGTTTTCTCCATCTCTTTGATTCAATAATTTGCTATTTCTTCTTTTTATTCCTGTACGATATTACCAATCATATCTGATTTACTGATTACGTTCCCACTATTGGTTGCAGAAACTTCAGAAACAACACAATTGTATCCCGGATGAACATTATGTGCAGACCTTACTTGCAGTACGTAAATATTTGTTCTGAAAAAAATATTTAATGTAACTAACATATGCTATTTGTCTTTCCAGTGTGTTGCTCGTAGTTGCGTTGCTTTGTGATCACTATGATGTTACTTAGGAACAAAGCATTCAGTGGCTTCTCCATATTTAATGGTTTACTAAATTCTGGTCATGTCTTGAATTGTTTAGCAATTATGCCATTTTTGTCTTTTGGATAGATGAATGATCTTGAATCTCTACTTGAACGAAGAACGGTGACCTACACTGTTTGGAACCTGTCTGCTACAAAAATGGAAAATAAAGGTTGGCATCCTATTACATTTAGCCATGCAGATGCTGGGCCTCAACAAATAAAAAGAATAAAGGTTAGCAGCTTGCATCTCTCTCCTGTGACTGGAAAATAAATGTCTGATTGTCCGCATTAGAGATAGATAATAATCATGACAAATTCCATCATGTTACTATGAGAGCATGTGTGCCTAGAAGCTTTGTCTACTTATAAGTTTCAATTAATAATTTTTTATTGGTCAAAGTTGGAAATGAGTTGCTTATTTTGACATTAAGATAAAGTTGCTTTCAAAGTACTCTGTTACTTAGAAGTTAAAAAATAAAAAATAAAAAGTTATATATCCAAACATGTTTGGGAACACGCTAGGTTTTATCCCCTTTTAAAGTAGCACAAACGTGACTAGGAGAATTCTCTGTAGTGCTCTTTATTTCAGACATTAGTTCGCAAGGTATGTGATTTTAGCTACATTCTACTCTTTAATATCTTCTTTTATTTCGCTTCAGTTTTCCAACTGGGTTTGCATTAACCATCTAACTTAGCTGTTTCCTATATTTTACAGGAAATCAGCCATGTCTACTATGAAACCGAGCACAGAACTGAGAGGTGCTGTAATAATACTACATCTGTTCCTTGTTTTTTGTTTGCAAGGAAATTTTCTCAAGGAGCTGCCATGCGTCTTTTAAGTCAAGGAGTGGTTGGTAACTTTGACGTCACTGCAATACTGGATTCTCCACCATGATTTTGCCAATGCTTGAGCCATCAGAATGTCGGGTATTCTTTCGACTGTCAACTTACATCAGAAAATTCTTTTGGTCAGCTGCTGGAATGTCCATAAATGTTTAACATCAGTGCAGGGAAATTTTTTAGACTATACAACTTAGAGAAGATAGTGCAAACATAGATTAGGGCGAATAGTTTGAAGAAGATACAATTTTGACATCAAGCTATGCTCACCCGAAGACGGAAGCATGTCGAAGATTGTTCTTCTTGGATACACCTTATGGCTTATGCTGTATGGTCATAGTGGCATAATCCTTTATATTCGCTTTCTTGGATTGTGACTCTATGGTAGGGAAAAATAATTGGTTACATGTAACCTATGATCGAAACGACGTGTGTTTTCTTTCTTTACTTTCCATTTTGTGTGGGTGGATGTAGCCATGTAGGGTGGGGTTGGGTGCTGGGACTTGGATGAAATGGCAGCTGAAAGAGTTAAATGCTGGATTATTATGCAGCGCTAACTCTTTTTCTGGTGCTTTTGGGCTTCAGCTCTCTGTTGGGAGGCTGGAAATGGAATAATCTTAATAGTGAGTCATCTTCGAGAGATTTTTTTTTTCAAGAAAATTTTAATATCTTTAAATTTAAAGAGTATAATATTTTATGAACTCAACAAACTATTTGTTTTACTTTTTCCATCGTTCATTTAAGGTTCAACTTTCTACTTTTGGGGTGTTTGATTGATATTTTTTTTTTATGAAAAATATTTTCCAAAAGTTGGTCATGTGACCACATTTTTCTCAAAAATAAGGAAAACATTTTCTTTACGAAGGGATGTGTTTTTATTTTTCAGGCAATTCACTATCTCTCATCTACTTTTAATAAAAGATAAACAAGTATAATATTTTCTAAATTGAAATTCAACATAATCAAATACATTTAATTAATAATTTTTAGACAATTCAACTATCTGAAATTTATTTTATTTGTCATGTAAGTTTCATGCTTGCAGTTAAGCACATCCTAATTGTTTTTCACTTATTTTTCAATTACGTATATATCTATATTTTTAGCTGTCGATGACTATATTCTATATAATATTAATAATTTAAATAGTGAAATATTGAAACTTGCAATCTTATTCAATGCAACTTTTGAAAATACAAATAAATAGTGAGTTTGGCTTTCCAAATATAGATAGCAAAATTTATTCTCTAATATAAAAAGTTCAAATAAAATTTGGAGTTTAATTATATGGTTTGACTTTTTAAAATAAAAGGCATTGCACTTTTAAAGAATCTCCCAGATATATTCTAAAGACTCAATTTTAAAGAGCATATTTTACAATTTAAATAGCATATAAATTTAGAGAGTAATTTTTTTTTTAAAATACTCAAATAACATCTTTATTTTTAACACTTAATTTTATTACTTGCATTATATATCTATTATTTTTCTCTTATCTTTTATTTAATAGGATCAATATATGGAGTATTGAAAATTGAAATATTTTGAATGCATTTAATTATCGAGAGTGGATTAGGCTCTCGCTCTCCAAATTTGGAGAGTCAAACTCGCTCTCTATTATAAAATATTAAGAATTGACTCTTTAAAATGAGAATATTTCACTTTTGACGAGCCTCTCGGATATGCTCTAACAATTGGGGAGAATTTATGCAAGAATTCAAAATTCTCAACTTCAAACTCTACTGGGTGGGGGACACAGTAATCTGATATCTATTGAACCACAAAGATCAAACGTCTTTATTTGATAAGTTAAATGTCTAACAATTTGACAACTATATAAAATAAGTTAATCTAAGATTCCATTGATTAATTTACTGAAAACCATATAGAGGTTCCCCTTTACCAAATAAATAGAACTGAAATATAAACCAACTTTGAGAGGTTCCTCCATAGATATCATAATAAGAATACGTGTGGTATAGGAAAAACTTCAAATTGAAGTCATCAAATCACCAAAATGTTTATATATAGTCTAGGCTACATATACTAAAAAATCCTCGTCTGTATTGTTTGAAGTTTTGATGAAACTAGACCAGAGTTCGGAGCCATTCCTTTATGCTTTATCAGCTGCAACCATTGCATTAACCCTTGCCCTTGTCAGTATCCATCGTGATTAGTATATATTAATCCCGAGTGGAAGACGCCTTTTAATATAGTGTTACAACCAGAAAAAAGAATCAAGTGATCCAACTGAATAGTGAATTTTGTAAGGATCTCTTTCTTAGATAAGAAAACAGATTTCTGATAGCTCTATTGCATAGGCGATAACTTGAGCCCTGCAGTTATCCTTGTTTTGGAATTTGATGCCTCTCTTCTCGCGTTCCATTTTTTACATAACAAACTGGATCACATTAATCATTAGAGCACATCAGAATCAAACAAAAAATCTTCTTGTTCTGAAGTTAATACCAATTGCCTAATCCCACAGGTCAGATTTCTCAAAACCGAAACTATTTCTGCATATTGAGGATGTGAACTGTGGGGTGAGAAAAACGTGGTTATTGTGCCATGCATTTCAATAAAACTCCAACCTGGAGTTTTCCTCAGGCCAAGAGATCTCATTTGGAGCCAAGCTTCTCCCACCCCATCCCATCTGGCCATTGAAGCAAAGCTGTGAGCCAGTTGCACATACTTACCAGCATCTTCAGGCTGCAAACCAGAAATTTCCTTGGCAATAATTTCTCCAAGCTCTGGCTTACCATTTTTTCGACAGGCATCAAGTAGGATGCCTAGAACATCCTCCACTGGCTTCGGGAACATCCTCTTATAGTAGTCAAATGCATCTTCTACCCTACCAGCCCGGCAAAGGAGATCAACAATGCACGCACAGTGTTCAAGCTTTGGTTCAACCTTATACTCATTTTTCATTGACTCAAAAATGCTCATACCATGGCCAACAAGCCCGTTGTGACTGCAGGAGTAGAGAACAGATAAGAACATGACATCATTTGGTGCATGTCCATTCTGAAGAAATTCTGAAAACATCTCCAAAGCCATCTCCCCTTTTCCGTGACTACCATATCCAGCAATAATCGTGCTCCATGAAGCCATATCATGCTGTGGCATCCTATCAAAACACTTTCTAGCACTACCCAAGTCACCACATTTGGCATACATATCAACCAAAGCTGTGTCAATCATGATACATGGTCCAAGACAGTTCCTAACAACAAAGTTGTGAATCCACTTCCCCTGCTGGTAAGCCCCAATGGAAGCACAACCTTGAAGAAGGGAGATAATGGTTATTGAATCAGGACTGTGGTGCGCTATTCTCATTTCATTAAAGAGATACAGAGCCTTATTTAAATCTCCATTTTGTGCATAACCAGAAACTATTGCATTCCAGGTGACAACATCTCTTTCATTCATCATTCTGAAAACATCATAACTCTGCTTTAAATAGCCACATTTCCCATACATACTAACAAGAGAATTATATGTAGGAATATCTGCTGCCATTCGCTGCCTTAACATGTAGCAATGCACGGAAGTCCCTAGTCTGGTAGAACCTGATTGCCCACAGGCTGCAAGAACACAAGCCATAGTTGCAGTTGATGGAATCACATGCGAGACCATCATCATTCGAAACACTGTCAATGCCTTGTCTGCATAGTCATTCTGTACAAGTCCTGAGATCATCGCTGTCCACAACACCGCATCCTTATCACATGCCTTGTTGAAAACCTGTAAAGAATCATTCATATTCCCACATCTTGAGTACATAACCATAAGCGACGTTTCAACATGTTTATCTAATTGAAATCCAGACGTTACTATCTGTCCATGCACAATTCTTCCCACTTCAACACTACCCTCTCTCGCAACTGCAGAGATCAATGATGCAAAGGTTTGCTGATCAGGCACAAGATTTTCATCCTTCATTCTGTACAAAAGATTTAAGACTTCGCTAACATTCCCTACCGCTGAATAGGCATTAATCAAGCTATTCCAAGAAACAATATCTTTGTCGTTCAATGATTCAAATAACTTCCTGGCATCTCCTACTCTTCCACACTTAGCATACACACTCAACATACAATTCATCAAAATTATATCACACTGAAAACCAGTTTTAATTATGCAACAGTGCAAAACATCCGTGTGGGCATTGTCAGAAACCCCAGAGAGCAGAGTCAAAATGGTTACTGAACTGGGTTGAATCCCTTCATTCTGCATAGAATTATACATAAAGAATGCATTTTTCACATCAGCACCACGTGAATAACACCCAATGATTGCAGTCCATGGGACGATATTTCTACGAGGCATCATATCAAACACCTTTTGAGCATAACGGGTATTCATGAATTTTGCATGGAAATTGATCAACGAGGAGGAAATGTAGGGGTCCTCAGACAACCCATTAACAATAGTTTGTTGGTGGAGTGAGAGGCCGAGAGAGAAGAAGTTAAGCGATGTGCAAGCTTTGAGAAGCGGAGGGTACGTGAAGCCGTCTGGAGGAGTGGTGGGGGGTTTGAGCACGGAGATGAAGGTAAGAACAACTTCACGGTGGAAGCCTTGGGCGGAGAGACTATTGATAATGGCATTTAATGATCTTGTGGCGGTGGGTACCAATGTGGTTCGCGGCAGCGGTTTTGGATAGCGGAAGAAGTTGGGTTTTAGCTTGTTCATCAGCTCATGGTACCTGCGGCTTTTTAAGCCGCCATAATTTGGAAGGTCGGGTCTTTGTGTACAGCATTTGCCAATCGAAATCTTGGAAGCTGCTTTAAGGGAAAAATCCAATCAAGAATTTCTCTGTAAATTTTCTGCAGAAGTGAGGTGATAAAGAAGAACAGATTATGAAACGGGTACAGTTCACTTAAGTTTGTTAAATATCTTGAACTATTTCAGTGCAAGTGTCGTCACTTAATTGTCGCTAACTATTAACAAAATGAGAGACTTATTTTTAAAAAAATACAAGATTACTCTATGAAGTTACTTTTAACTTTTAAGTAAAAATAGAATAATAATTTTTTAAACCAAAATTTGAAACTTAAATTATTCAGAATCAGCTGCCCAAGAGAGGGGCATACCCCTCCTCACCAATCAAAACAAGAGCGTGATGGAGTTTATTGACAGTATTTTTAGAATCAAAATCCTCTTGAGAAACAGGGGAAGGAGAAACGATAAAAAAGAGATGCATTTGAGAACAATTCTCAAGAATTTGTGGGCTGCTTAAAGTAAATAGCTGTAGATGAATCTATTTAATACATCTTTGGACTTCAAGAGCTATTGCAATCAAAACTATAACACCCGCTGTCATGGGCGGAGCAAGGATTGTTAAATCGTGGAGCCAAAAGGTGGATTTGCTGCGGTGGGGTAACAACCAATACCTGTACAAATGTTGTATTTTAGTCTGTACAAAGGAGGTTTTGAAAATTAAGTGTGGGGGTAGCTGATCTCATTGTCCCAACACTAAATCCGCCCATGTATTGTAATACCATAAAACCATTTCCATTTGTTGAGTGATGCAGGATTTTGATTATTCATCCCTTCAAATATATTTGTTTATATTAACAACAATCAGGGCATAGCCTATGATATGATGATGATATATCACCTAGTATTTGCAGCATTCATGTCCTACATTTTGTTGCAAACACAAGGCGCTCTGAATAAACATAAGCAAAGGGATTCATTTCTTACAATGGCTACAGTTCACGGAACTTGTAGCAAAATCTCATTAGGTACTAGTCATGTGTACAAGTATTGTGACCTAAACGAGATTTTGCTATAAGTTCGTTACCATCAGTGAATTTTGTAGAACAGCTATAGATTGGGGTCGCGAAAGGATATATATATATAAAGTGTCTATTTAACGGAATTTGTTGGTTTAACGGGAAAACTAACGAAATTTGTTGTTTTAACGGATTATGTAACGGAATTTCTTGGCAGCTGTACTTTCTTTCAGTATTTTTATCATAACTTTGTATTCCGATATTTGATTGAAACGATTCAAAATGCGTTGGAAAGCTAACTCATCTGGCTACAACTTTGATTCAGACATCATTCTCCAATTCGATCACTTTCTATGCCAAAAATAGGTCTCAATATGAGACTAAAATATCGGATCATAACTTTTAGGTTGGAAATTGATTTGTGATCATCTTTTG